GTTAATCAATCCATTCTATGTAGTGTTGCAATTTGGTGTTCAATTTATAATGATGATTATATTGGAATGATAATACATCTATATGAATGTGTAGAGTAAGTACGAAAATATTGAAAAAAAAAAACGAGAAGAAAAATGGAGAAGCTGAAATTTTGGCCTAGGTGAGTGCGCCGAACGCTACTTTCAATAACCCAAGGCCAAAACCTACCCTTGGCGATCGCTAATTTTGTCCTGGGCGATGTTTCAAGCCAATTTTTTGATTGTTAGGTTTGAAATTTTTTATTCATTTTTTGGCACCTTTTCATGAACCTTTGAGGCTTTTTCTTGGTGTTTGACTGAGAATCTATATAATATATATGAAATAGATTTCATTCCTCTACACAATCATTACACCACCAACAATTGAAATCATTCCACTCATAAAAAGTTTTACAAAAGTCTCTTTATATACTCATCATTTTAAGTGTTCTTCGAGTTTTAAAGGGAACATAAGTTCTTCGTTTCTTTCTTCTTCTAAAGCTTATTAAATCCTACAAATTATTTGTCGTGAGTCCTTTTAAACATAAAAAATAATCCTAGAGAGGGCAAATTTAGTCTGAAGACAAGGATTACGCATTCAAGTCAATTTTCAGTATTTCTCTTTTCTTTGGTTTCTTGTCTCCATTCTCTTGTCAGGATCAAAGTTTTTCCAACAATTTCAAACTAAAAGTTGTTGCTATGGAAAATGAAACTACTATGGTTGCCATCAAACATATAAATCAAGACCTTGTTCGCTCGGATGGATTTGACGGAACAAATTTCACTCTATGGCAAGACAAGTTGAAGATCCTTCTCACGATGTTGAAGATTTTCTACATCCTTGATCCAGAGTTGGCACCACTATCAGAACCAACAAATGGACATATCAATGTCGTAAGAGCCAAGAGGCAAAAGCGTGAAGAAGATGAATTAATTTGTCGCAGTCACATAACTCAACGGACTATCCAATTGGTTGTATGATCTCTACACCAACACCTCATTGGCAAAACATATTTGGGATGCATCAAAGAACAAACATAAAGCCGAAGAAGAAGATAAAAATAAATTCTTGACGTGGTATTTCGATTTTAAATTTCTTGAAAACATTCATTTTCTTCTCTAAGTGCATGAATTACAAGTACTCGTCAACAAATTAAAGGCAGTTAAGATTGAACTTCTGAAACATTTCCAAGTGGGAGCAATTATTGCTAAACTTCCAAGGACTTGGAAAGGATATTGAAAAAAGATTCTTCATGGTTCTGAAGTTTACTCTTTAAAAACAAGTTCAAAAACATCTCCGAATTGAGGAAGAAACGAGGGCTAGGATTGTTGACACCGAAAACAAAACAAGAAAGAGGGCAAAGTAACTACATTGATGAAGCGAGCATTGTGGCTACCGTGAGCAGAATAAATGCTATCAAGGAAAAGTTTACAGTTGGTGGTATGATACATGTTTAACTATACGTGTATCATATGATAAGTCACTCTTTAAGACTTATCATGAATCAAATGGAGAACAAGTCAAATGGGTAATGAAGGCCACTCCAAAGTGGTTGGAAAAGGAAATGTTGATATTATCTTTACTCCTTGAAAAATCGTTACCTTAACAAATTTACTACATGTTCTCGACATGAATAGGAATTTAGTTAACAAAAATCTCCTAAGAAAATCGGGAATTAAAAGTTTTATGAGTTTGAAAAACTCTTATTGTCGCTAAATGAAAAATTGGTTGGAAAATACTATTCAAGTGAATGAATGGTCAAATTGTGTATTGTTGACAATATTATTAATTATAAATTTGATTTTGTTTATTAGGTTGATCCTTTTACATTATGACATGCTAAATTAGGTCATAAAGTGCTAGTACCAAGAAAAGAATGTTAAATTGAATATAATTTCATATCATATGAATAATGCAAATAAATGTAAAACATGTGTGGAATCTAAAATGATTAAGAAGCCTTATCAAACTATGAATAGGACTTCTATAGAACTTATTCATTTGGATATATGTGAATTTAATGTTATGTTAACTAGATGTGAAAATAAGTATTTCATTATCTTTATAGATGATCACTCTCAATGTACTTATATTTATATAATGAAACATAAACACGAAGCAATTGATATATTTAAAACTTATAAAAATGAAGTTGAAAATCATTTACATAATAAAATAAAAACTCTAAGAAGTGATAAAAAATGTGAATATTTTTTTTAGTGATTTTAACTTATTTTGAGTACATCAATAATCTGCACTTAGGATACTCAAATGAAATGGTTTCGTTGAGAGAAAAAGTAAAATATTAGTTGAAATGGTAAATGTCATGTTAACATATGCTAAGTTACCATTTAATTTGTGGGTGGAGTCTTGTTGAGTGCATGTAGAATATTAGATAGATAATTAGCAAAAAACATTCATATTTTATGTACTCATTGCAAAAATGGTCCATACCGTTTTGAAGTATTCAAGTATTCAAGTCAATTTTCGGTGTTTCTCTTTTCCTTGGTTTATATTCTCCCTTCCCTTGTTAGGATCAAAAATTTCCAACATTTAATATCTACTAGACAATTCAAAATAACAAAAATGCTTAACAACTACGTGAAACTATATTAAATTTACTTATCTTTTTACAATTGCAATAATACGTAGGTTTGTCAAATATGTTTCAACCATCGAGTCATCTTCCTTTTAATTTATCATCAAACGATATCGCTTGTGAACAAAGCACATGGGTCTTACTGACCCCTCACATGGGGTCGGCCCCACGCAGGCCCTGATGCCATAAAAATGAAAGAAAAAAAAACCCACCCCACCTTTGTGAGGTGTCGTTAAGATCCCTGTAAATGTTGGGTCTGTACGCCCAGCACTGCTCATCGCTTGTTATATTCTTTGCACTTGAAATTCAGCTGATAAAGAAAATTTTCAAGGTGCCAAAATAGACTGACACATCAGCCATGACATGGAGATTGGAGACCATCTGGGAAAATGGGACCATACATAGATGAGTGGACTTCTACTAATTGAAAGTTTTCATGTTGTTAATCAAGTTGCACAATATGCCTTGCTATTCATTTTGGAGCATTTATAGCCAGGAAAAATACATAACTTCAAAAATTTCAAAATACACTTTCAAAAATAAGAAACTTGCGAAAAGGTTTCAAAAAAATTTTGTGACTTGTTAATTTATTAAGCATGACAATAACACAACTTATGGTCAAAATCACGTACTAGTCACAAATAGCACAAAGTAATAGTCACAAAAACATAAATTATTGGTAACAATAACAAATTTAATCACAAATCATATATTTTTTAAGCAACAAATTATTTATCGATCACAAAATACTCATTTTCTTTTGTCGCAATTACCCAATTAATTAGTAACAATGGCTTTTCATCTCACCTCACCACCACTCTACCATCGTCGATACCACCCAAAACGTTTATATCGCCACCTCGCCTCGCCTCCACCACTCATAACCACCTCAACCTCCATCTTACCACCACCTAGAACTCAACCACATCTACCTCTATCACACCTCCACCTCCTGCACCTCATCTACAACCACGTTAATCGTCAGATTTGTAGCCATTTGACGATCGCCACCTCGAATCCCCAACTCACAACCATCGAGGACGATAGAACGACACAACCAACGGCACAACCAAAAGCAGCAGCGACATCGTTAACTAAAAGGACAGGAGGATGAGAAGAGCTTTTTTTGGAGAAGAAAAGCCCTTGAAAAGTAGTTGTGTTCAGATCTATAGCCATCCAATAATCGCCACCTCGAATCCCAAACTCACCATCATCGACGGCACAATAACAACACAACCAGTTGCCCGTCATCGTCTTATTTCCCGATGGCGGATTCGTCTATGTCAATCGAGATGTCAAGAAAAATGTCGTTGGAGAAGTAGTGGCGATGAGACAATGAGAAGAGCATTGTTGGGTTTTTTGATACTCAATAATTCGGGCGATGATTTAAAACAGTTGTCGGATTATTTATCGACGCCATGGACTTGGCTCGACTCAGAGACGAACTACACTTTTGGATGGCTAGAGTTTGGGTTGGATGATTATTTGGTTAGTTGGACCATTTAGTGATTCATATGGAATTGGAAATTGACTCATTAGTTTAGGTTATATGGCAACCCACTTAGAGATCTCTTGGCCCATATTTGGTGACTAAACTAACATATATGTATATATATATGTATTTATCTCCCAGCCATTTTGGTGTGTGTGTGTGGTGTAGCAATGGAGAGGAGAGTTGAGAAAAGAGAGACAACCGAGAGAGAGGAAAGCCATGTGAGGTTGTGAGTGAGATTCAACCATTGTAATATCTTCGTCTTCCTTTCCATACCTTTGTGGATTGCTAACACTACCACCCTTCTCCTTTGTGGGGGTTAAAGAGAAAGAGAGCAATCCAAAGTGAAGGCGAAAGTCTTGGGTCGAACCAAGGTAAATTGGTGTTCGTTTGATCATTTTTTGAGCCCGTAATCAAGATTTATAGAGAGATTTCCGCGACAAGCATGTTGCCAAAGAGGAAGGTGGAGATGGTGTTCGACATGCACAGGTATGAAATGGGTGTGGGAAATTTGGGGTGTGGGTTGTGAAAGTGACTGTTCATTGTGACCATTTTTTGGGTGGAAATGGTGTTAGCTTAGGGTGTGGTATGGAATGAGGTGGGTTGGCGTGGGGTGGGGTGCGTGGGGCCGGTGACCTGGGTACAATTGTGCATAAATGTCGGTTGAGATACACCTGATTTTTCAAAGAATAATTTTATCATCTGATCATTAAAAATGAAAATTTGAAAAACGGGTGGTGTAATTTCCCCTTTATAGTCTCTTCTCAAGGCCCCTTATTCTGATATCCCGGCTCAAGATCCTCCACGACTAGGAGGGGTATCGAGCCGAATATGTGGGCTTAGGGCAAAAAAGCATTGGCAATCAAACTTTTTTTGGAGGCGGAGAGTCGTATCCTTTGCAATAGTGAAATTATTTATTAGTCAAAACATTACACAAGCAATTCCACAAGATGTTTGTATTTATACTATATGATTGTGTTATTCGTTCGCATATTTTTTTCCCAAAAAACCAGGCAACAAACTTGACTGTCCATATGGTAAGCTGTCTTTGCTGCAAGCAGTCGCTTCAGTCGATGGACTCAGCATGATCTTCGTCGACCTCAGCTTTGCAAAGTGGACAAGAGGCATTGATTTTCAACCACTTGTCTACACACTCTTTGTGAAAGAAATGAGAGCAAGGTAACTCCATCAGGTCGTCATTGTTCAAATATTTCGCCAAGCAAATGCAGCAAATCTATAGAACACAAAAACAAATTAATTCGAAATCTCATTAATGAATTGAGATCAAGAAAATGTGTGCAAGTGTCCAACCAAATTGAAATTGATTCGAAAAACATATGTTCGAAGATTCACATCAATGTCGACTACCTTGTTTCATTTTCAGAAGGAGCCAAAATGGAAGCAAACCAAATCTAAGCTTATGTTTGGGAAGTGTTCACATACACTACTGTTTATTAGAACTCTTAAACGGAACTACTTTTTATCTACATATTTCATGAGACCTATAAATACCACCTAATTTATCACCACTCATTTCTATCTGTATAAACATTATTGTTTATAAACACTTCCCAAAGATACTTTAAGATCCAATATTTACAAATTATGAAAATAAAACCATTAGAATATCCTTTTATGAGAAGAGTTTTGTTCACAATTACATCTCAGAAAAATTAATAAACATGCAATTCCAATTTCCACATCAACTTAAGATTTAATGGTTAGCATCTATCAATTTGATATTTAGGAGAAGACTAGATTAGATTCACAACATCAAAGCCTTGGCAGACAACATAATTTATCAACTCCTAGCAGCAGATTCAAATTATAGTGATAGTTCATGAGTCGGCAAACGAAATTATATATGTATAAACATACATATATATGTATACATATACATACATATATATGCGCGCACGCACAGACACACACGCATGCACACACATATATATATTTTTATTATTATTATTATTATTTTATTTTTTTTTAAATTTTATATCTAGTTATGATGGTATTCATTCATTCACATATATTATCTTGTAACTCCTATATTGACAAAAAATAAAACAAGATAAACATCAAAGAATCCAAGACGCGAAAGAAATTGAAGTTTACCGAGTCCTCTCCTGATATCAAACGCTCTTTTTCGGTTCCGACAGCCACTATCCCACCTTCATCTGCATCTGGGATACACTCCTTGTCACTGCTATTCTTGTTCTTCGCCTTAAATTTATAAGTTGGCAGAGAATTAATTAATTCTTGAGTGGCTCCTCGATAATGAATCAAATCATCTCTGATGCCGACGACAGAAATTAGACAAGGCAGGCAGCAGCAGATTGCCACGCACACAATAAAGGGCATAGCATATCCAATACAACTCAAGGTAAGAAATACTATACATAACCTGCAAGTAAATACATCACGAAAGTATGAAAAAGAATGACACAAATACTAGTATGAAAGTACGATGTAAGGATGCTCATTAAACTACCTGTACAAGTTGGGAGCCTCGGCAGATGATGCGTGACCTCCAAAAACCCACACATTACCAACTACAAACCAAACAGCAAAGAAGCAATCCAAAGCCATCTTGAAGTATTCCATAATTGCTTTGATTCTGTAAGAATACACTCAGAGCATTTAGCTCTCATTCTACAATGAACTTGTTAACGAAGATGAATGAACCAACATTTCTAGCCAAAAGTTCTGCAAGTCCACTCCTTGTGATGCCACAATGTTATGACTTAACATGTAAAAGTTTAAAATAAACGCAAAGGAAAATTTTGACTTACCTTCGAAATGATTTTTAAAATAACTGTTGAGAAATAGAGAATGCAAAAGTAAAAAGGAGACAAGGACATAAAAGAAAAATGAAAAAGAATATCTAGCAAATGTTTTTCATCATTAGATACTTGAATGGTTAGCATGCCATAGTGTTGGTAAATTCGCACAAAGCTTGAAAATTTTCTAAACCACCATGTTATTAATCCATAACAAATTTCAGTCCATGAACTAAAAGCACAAAGCAGATGAAAACAACCAAAGAAGCCAGCACTAGTTAGTCAAGAAAAAGATAAAGGAGCAAAAATGGTAATCTCCAAAATTCATTGAGGTGAAAAGAAAACAAGAATTACAGATTATGATCTAGGAAGAAGGGAATAGAGTTAACAAAAAAAAAAAAAAAAACTTTTGAAATAATAATAGATACCCTGAACTTGGTAGTCCTACATTCTGACCACCTCTAGATGCAGTACCAGTAGCCCAACGATCTTCCCGCCCCAAAACCATTCTAGTTGAAGAAACTGCAGAATAACCATTCTGAGAAGAATCTTGATGATGATGAGATTCGTCCTGTTCAGAATCTTGATTACGATGTTGGAAACGCCAATATAAAAGAGGAAGCAACCCTAGACATCCCAATGCATAACCCACAATCCACGCCTTCAAAGGAGCATGTGGATGCTCATGCTTTGACAAAGATAAGACAGCGATGGCAGCAATAATTTGGCTCACTGTAAATACTAGCAAAAAGGATATCCATAAACCGGAATTTAAGACACTCCTTCGGCGGCGGAGGCTAGTTCCTCTCCGAAGAAGTGGTGAGTTCCTTGAGTTTGATCCATCAGCAGAAAAAAGTGGAGGTTGATAATCTGGAACCCTCACACTAGTAGAACCCTGATCTTCACTCTGTTGCTCCTCTAAGCCATTGGACTGCAGCTCATCAGAAGTGATAGATGAGGACGCATCACTGCAATTAGTTATGTCAATAACATGCTCATTACCATTACAGTTATTTGCTTGCTCCATTAACAAAGGCATTTTGTTCATTTAGCTTTTACGATGAAGTCCCAGTATAAGAAAAACCTTCTAAGTTCACCAACAACCAAAAACTACACATAGAAAGCATGTGATAAGAGATCGATAGAAAACCTTCAACTTCCCTGCTTATTCGCTACCTAAATTTAAGCTTCTTGTCTTGTGCAGTCTTTCAAACCTTAAACACAGCTACATACTCGAATGCGTCAATCAACAGACACATTTCCATTAATCTGTTCAATCAGAAAATGTAAGGATGTTAGAATGTTACTTGGTTTTTTTCCCAATTTCAAATATGCTTCAAGGGTGGAAGCACACATTAAAAATCCACAAAAAAGAGAACAAATGAGATATATCCTCTTTCTAAAGTTTCTTATAATCTATGCAGAAAGAAAGAAAAAACGTTACTCAAACTTCAGAACATTATCTCTTTTTTTCCACGAGAGATTTTCTCAGCATCAATAGATGACAAGGCAGAGATTTATGTCGAATTCTTTGGCATGCTCTCGATTGGTTACATCAAAACGAATCCATCAAACTGAAGTCACAACTATTGAACATATCATGTAACTGAAATTAAAGTTTTAACAAGCTAAAAGGTGTTTATATCTCTTCAGTTTAAATAAAAGCATGGGAACAAAATTCACAAATACTAATTCCATTAGGCTATATATAAAATCTGCATAGATAAGCAGCATCCAGTATTTTGTTTGATCAGAAACGGTGTCAAATCATCAATTCCCAAATTTCAAAGAACATATGCACCTCCCCAGCGTTAAAAATATGGATTTCAGAAAAAAGGTTCAAATTCAAAATCCAAAACCCAATTAATAAAAACAGATCCTTTTTTAGAGTATTAAATCTCAGAAAATCTTCCAAAAATTCTCCAAAATATCGACTAAACAATACAATTGAACCCAAGCTTATAAAACCCAGGAATTAATAACAAAAGGAACACATGTTAATGAGAAGAAACCATAAATCATGAATTTATCATACACTAAAACAACTTTATCCATAAATATACGTATTAAATATTTTATAAGTATTTATAATCAACATTAGATACTAACCAGTATGAGAAAAAAAGCGAAGGATGAGGAGATCTCCTCTATGAAAGCTGTGAGCCATTCTGTCAGACTTTGGGGGTTTACTTTATTTTTTATTAATATATTTTCTCTTTTTACTTCTTTTGGAATAAGTGCTTATAATCTTTTGGCTTGGCGATTTTATCCATAAAAAGGAGGAAATTCCGTATTGTCACCGCAATTTATGTTTCAAACATCACATTTTATCAAGTCCTTCAATTTTTTCTCATTATGACAATTATTTTTTAAAATATACTCAGTCGAATTTTTATCTTCAATTTTTCATTAATTAGTATGTTTTGTTTTTTATGATGATTTATATCAAAATATTTTATTTCATACTTTGAGTGTAGGGGAAAAAAAATCGTATTTTTCTTTTATTTATTTATTTTAAAATATGATGAAAAAATAAGTTGTTTTACGCCATTTTAATGGATTTTTGGATATAAAATTGCTATTACATACAAAATGTATTAATTAGGGGAAAGTTTGGGAATAAAAATGAAATGAAAAATCATTAAGGACATAAGTGTTATAACAAGTCTATTTAAGACCTTAATTGTAATTAAAATGTGGTGCAATAAATAAAAATTATAGTGTGTGTGTGTGTGTTAACTATACACCAAATAGAGGCAAACTACAGAATTTGCATAAATTTTATGAGTCGTGTTCCACTTGTTCCCATAGAGTTGTAGATGGAGTCAAAGATAGCTAAATGGGGATCGAAATAGATAGTCAAGCATATCGAATTGACTACACAACTATAAATTATTTTTACTAAGGATAAAATGAATATTTCCATTCTTACATAAGAAAAAGCCTTAATAAAATTTTGAAGAAACTCATTTTAGTGTCATGAGTAGCAATTATCTAAAATAACAATTTTAAGCTCGAATTGAGTGTTTGTTTAGAAGAGATTATTTGAATCGAAGAATATATGATTAATATGTAGACTGGGTTGGGCTTCGAAGTTTAGTTGGTCTACCATCACCTCTTCGTTGGGCCAGCCCTCCATTTCACAGTTGGTTCATAAAAGAATAAAGAAAAAGAGAGAGAAAATGATGTCAACCACTCGTCTACTTTCAAATACACAAAACATCCTAATTGAACAACCATCACCACCTACGACCACTTAACCATCACCACCTACTTCTACACAATCAACTATCACTTCATTCAAGCATCTGTCGTAGCCACCACCCGAGGATAAGAAACAGGCAGTTCTGCAATCCAATATTGAATACAAATTTGGATTCCAGTCGTCATCAACTCCTCCTCCTATGAAGTGGTAACATCTCAATCCTATGAAGTGGTAACATCTCAATCAACTTAGTTTGATGTCAAATTATGAGCCTAGAATCTTCAATGGAGATGGTGCGCCCGCCCAATGCCGAGGTGCCACCTCAGGGGTGTGTGGTGGGCCACCCATCGAGGTGGCACACGGCCCACCGTGGCATTGCAACCGCTATACCGAAGATTCTCTCCAAATTATGACCCTAGACTACACGATTTTGTTATTAAGCTTATACCAAAGGACTCATACCAATTGAAGTGATCCTTTCACTAGTAAATCAATCTCATTATCCTTCTTCGGACGATGTGTGATTGTGACTACTACAATCACACCACATTTTTGCGTCCAACATCTTTGTTGGCCACACTTTCGACTACGTATTAACTTTGATACCATATGTAATATTACAGTTCACTTGGTATGATATTGTCTGCTTTGAGCCTAGCCAACATAATTTTGTTGTTAGATTTTCACACAAAATGCATTGTACCAATTGAAAGTGGTCATTTCAATTATAAATCAGTATCATTATCCTTCCTCAAGAGACGTGGGATTGTGGCTATTACAGAATTGGTGTAAAGTGGCGGTTTTGCTGGATAATTCATGAAAAATATTTGATTAATTGAATTTCAAATGTGAATCTACTTTAAATCTGGACGAGGATATATGGATTTTTTATTTTGTCTTCACGTGTGAATGTGTTACTAGTCCCATTTGTGTCGGTAATGGTGAAAAATTGATGGTGACAATGACACTGTAATAATAAATATCACAATGGGAAGCAATGGTGACGGGAGCGTAACAATGAATATTACAAGCGTGATGATGGTGATGAGGATGACAACAAAAATGGTGAAAGAAACATATTGATGCAACAATGTAAAACATTATATTACGGAATGTATGTAAATCAAATATACATAAAAATTAGATAAAGCATTTTGAGAATTAGAAAAAAAAAAGTGGAAAAGTAAATTCGAAATTAGTTAACTTTTTTAATATATTTGTGAATAATTGTACTTGAAGAAAAATAAATTTTTTCTTCCTTTTTTAATAGCCATTATGAAATGCACGATAATAATTAATGACTAAATTAAGAAAGTAGTTCAAAAAGATTAAAAGCTGAGTGATGGAGTGCACAAAAATAAATTTGAGTGACCAGTGGAAAGCATTGTAAAATGCGATGAGTAAATCATAACATAAGTAAAAGTTCAACATTTAACTCGTGTACCTAAAGAAAAAAAAAATTCTTTCTCGAAAGAAAGATTTTAGTTGTTAAATTTTTAAGGAAAATTGCAATTTTGATACTCACACCTTTTACTTTGCGAGAATTTTTATCCTAACCTTTCATTTGTTATACTCATCATCCCAAACCTTTGACTTGTATACAGTCCAAGGATAAATGAACGCTTTCCATCCACATGTCAGTTAGTTTACAAAAAAAAAAAAAAATTATGATCCCTTTTGTCCAATAAAATGAAGAGCAAAATGATTTCTTTCAATTTTTCAATTTTTCTAAGAAAAAATAGAAAGAAATACCTTACCCCACCCCACCTAATCATAATCAACATCACCCCTGCCCTTCGGGGCATAACCCAATAGTGCAAAGGACAGGAGTGATGCAATCTCAGCTTTGCTAGCAGTCGCATTATGAGAATTTGATTCTTGAGATATGAAATTTGACACTTTGTGAGCACCAGTATACGGGCAAACTCTTGTTCACTAACCTACTGAAACACATCCCATAATTTACCTCCTTCACGATGTTCTAGAGGTAGGGCAGTGGGGACCCTGAAAGTTGGGGTTCAACTTTTTTTTTTTTTAAATCAACATCACCCCTTGTTGACACATAAAAATTCAGTCCAACTCGAACAGCCCAAAGAGTGAAGCCCAATTGGAGGATCCCCGAATCAGATAACCCAAAGAACGAAGTCCAATCGAACAAATCAAGATGAAGGCCCAAATAAGGAGGCCCAAGAACGCGGTAACGCCATCGCCCAAGTCGCCCAGAATCTGAGCGAATGGAGTGTCATACAGTCGCCCAGAGCTGTTACTCCATTCTCGCCCAAACCTTCAAGTCGCCCAAAGTCTTAACAAACATAAAGCGTCGTGCTTATTAAGAAGTGCAGTTATCAAAGCAGTTATTAGAGCAGCCCTATCACGTTCCACGATTCAAGGAATTCAATCGAAAGCGATTGAACGATGAAGAGTAATGGTAGCAGTTAAAGGAGGCAGTTTTCGTGACAAGTTGGCCATTACGAAGAAAGTGGGCAATTATAGGACGATTAAGCAGTTTTTAGGGCAGTTGATCACAAAGAGATCGTCCATGAAGTATAAAAGGAAGAAAGGACATAGAAGCAAAGGACCGAATCCAAGACTCTCGAACAGAGAACATGTAATTTTCATTTCCTTAGTTTTTAGACTTAAACACTTTTCTTTCAGTAACTCGTGTGCTTGCGCCCCTTGGAGGCACGTTGTTTTTCATTTCCAATTGTAAAATTCATCGCCAATAAAAGAACACCCATTTTTGGGACTTTGTCTCAAGAGGTTTTGTCCCTTACACAATCGTCTGATCCTTTTTAATTGTTAGCGACTAACCCGCGCGAAACAATTTGGCACGCCCAGTGGGACAGTGGTGTTAGGTGTTGAAAGTACAAAAGGTGAAACAATATGCCTCAGAGATCCGACAAGGAAGGAGCAAGTCAGGGAGGAATCCAGTCTGTGATCGAGTGATATGAGGAGCAGCATGCCTCTCCACGAACAGATAGATAGAATCAGAGCAGTAACAGTCGTTACGAACCAATGACGGAGTTGAGTCCTCGAACCATGCGTGCATTACTTGGAGAACTCACGCAAGACATCGTTGAATAGGTAATTCTTCGAAGTATTCATAATATGGAAAGGTTTACGCAAAATGGGAATGCACACTATGACAACATGGCCAAACAACTAAAGACGTTAAACGAAACAATGAATAAGTTAGTAGGCCAAATATGTCAACCGGCTATACCTCTTACAAACCACTTTCAAACTAGGACAATTGTGAGACATAATCCCTCTGTCCTAAATCAGAATCAAGGGGTAGAACCGCTTTCTGGTCCCTCTACTTCAAACCAAGGGGGTACTACAGTGCCAAATCAAAACAATGGTAATGGCATGCCTAACTTGGGGGGGTAATCCAAACGTGAGAGATAATGTCCTAAACAATGGACAGATTATTTCACGTGGTAATGAGGGAACAGATGTCCAGGCTAATGGTAATGGCCCTAATTAAGGTAATTTTGTTGCCAATCAAGGACCGAACATCAGGCCTCATGCAAATCAACCGGTTAATCAGCCTGTAGGAATTCCATATGATCCCAATGTCATGTTGAGGAACCAGATTATGGAAATCGTACAGGATCAGATGGCTTTTGGGGTGCGTCCTGTCATTAGGCCGACGTACACAAAGCCATATCCTGATTGGGTAGACCAAGCATATCCATGGCCTAGAGGGTACAAAGTGCCAGAATTCTCACTGTTTACCGATTTAGGAGAGGTGTCTACTCTAGAACACATAGGGCGATTCACGTTGCAAAGTGGTGATGTAACCG